CGGGGAGGGGGTGGGGTGTCTCCTCGGGGTGCAGGGATGGGTTGCGTCAAATCCTCTTAGTGCCTTATTGTCACGGACTGTGTCCTCCGCGCCCAAATTCAAATGATCGCTCTGGTGGCGGGTTGTGGAACTACAATAAGGAATGCCAAAGTGTTGTGCGCATGCTCGGGCCAGCTGATGGACCACCGGCCGGGTTCCCGCCAAAGCCTCCAACCCAAAACGCCATACATTGACAACACAGTTTATACAAAGGTTGGAAGTCAGAGACAGGTTTGAACACGTTTAAAACACATGGCCAACTCTAATTTCTCTTCAACACATCACAAAGACTTCGAAAAACGTCTACGACGGTGCCGCGCCGCTCAGCCAATGAGTGCCCGCCGTTTGAATGGCGGCGCCGACCCCGGGTCTCGTTAAAGGCGAATTAAAGTGTTTTAATGCGTCAAATAAAGTGGTGCGAGTTGAAACAAGGAAGAATAATGATGGACACGCCTTCCGCCGTATCGCGCGACGTCATCAGAGTTAAAACGCGAAATAAACGTGAATATTGACACCAGTCAGTGCCGTCGACGATTTGAAATTGTGCTGCGCTCTGATTGGTCGAGGCGGGGGCTGGTCGGTTGAGTAGGTCCGGGCCAAGGGACAGATCATTAGTAGAGCTCCAGACGTGTGAGGGAGAGTCAGTGTGTGACAGATAGATACAGCTTGTGATACCTACAGTGAGAATGTCTTCTTCAAGCGACGAAGACATTTTGAGGCTCGACCTCACCGATTCGTCCGAGGAAGAACAAGTGGTGAGTACAAATGTAATATCGATTCTGAGTGAAATCGCGTGAGACCAGAGCGTTGGACTCCTAACCTGTTGCTACCGTGTGTGTCCCTCCGCCATTCATTCTTGAATCGTTGATTCACAAGTGCGCTTTTCAAATCTGTGATTGAGTTCGCCGCGCTTTTCGAAATAACCGCGAGAGTTTGCCGCCCCTTTCCTAACCTCGCCGCATGTGGATCTCTATCGATTTTCTATCTTTTCAGCGAGTGAATCTGCGCTTTATGGGCCCGCGGAGGCCAGCACCGTCCCCAGCCCTCCCTCAGACTGGACCGCAGGTGCGGGGCCCTCATCGCCCCCCTACAACGGCCGAGGACGAGTTGGCCAAGGAGTCGGCCGCCGCCTTCGCCTCGAGGGTGGCCGTCGTGCCACCCACGCCCCGCATCGTAAGTATCCTCGTTTTTAGCTCAGTGCCGTTGCAAGTTGGATGTCGCCTTAACCTCTGTGTGTTTGTCTGTTCAGCCTGTACACGGGCGCATGGGCGAGCGGGAGGAGGAGGAGGACAACCACCAGCAGGCGCAGGCGGCGCGCGGCCGTGGTCGCGGCCGCGGATCTTACCGAGGCCGGCGCCGTATCGACATCCCTCAGCGCGGAGTAAGTCTCACACCATCTTCTCCTGCGTGATGTGTCCTTGGCACTGTCTAACTCTTTTCGTTACAGCCGGTTCACAGCCTCCTGGGGGAGCAGGGCGATCGCCAGTGGTACGGCCCAGGTCTGCGCCAGGCCGTCACCGTCCGCCCCGCCCGCTCCCTCGAGGACGAGGACGCCGCCCCCGCCCCAAAGCCCGCCGTCACCCCCGCGGCGATGAGGGAGGCGGTGCGCCGCGCGGAGGCGGTTGCACGCCGCGCCGCCAAGCAGGCGGTCAAGGAGGCCACGGAGGCCGTACGGGAGGCCGCGGAGGCCCCGGTAAGTACTACTTCGTCCTCATGCTTATCTTTCATTTGATGTGACTTCTAACTTGGTCTTTTTGTTGTAGGTCGTCGTCGCAAGGCCGGAGGCCAGGCCCCGCCAGCCTCAGCCCCGACCCCGTGGGCCCGTCCCTGCACCGCGCGGCTTGGGCGCTGCGCTAGCAGTCGTCGCCCCGCGCATGGCAGCGGCACACTTCGCCGCCCCCGACGCCGAGGCCCCCGCAGCCGCCCAGGCTCCAGCCCCTGCTGCAGGAGCCGCCGAGGACGAGGTACCCGACCCTACAACCCGCCGCCGCACCAGACCAGCTGTAAGAGTTCAACTCTGCTGTGAAGCGGAACAAGGGGCTAACTTGACTTAGCACCAAACTGAGATTTTGATGGCATTTTAAAGTAGATTATAATCCACATCTATCCACCAAACGGTTTGGTGCTAAGTACCATAGATTGGTGTATATAGGGGCTTGTAAAAGGGGCTAACTCGACTTGACTTGTTTTGTACGATAGTTGTCACGTACCAGAAGGCCACCAAAGGTGCTAAGTTGACTTGACCCCAAAGTCATCAGATTTTCTCAAGAAGCAAAAGGAGTTAAGTTGACTTAGCTCCTTTTGATATCATATTTTTATGGTGACATGTTGACTTAGCCCCTTTGCACTGATTAAAAAAAAAGAAAATAATGCCAATAAAAACATTATTTTTACTCTCAGGTGTCCAGCATCAAGTCACTGGTAAAACAAAGGCGCTATACAACGCCTTTCCTGGGGTGCTAAAATCAAAGCCTCATTTTCACGAAATCAAAACATTTTCCGTCGTAAATTAATAACTCACACAGTTTTGAAGATCATGATGGCTGTGGTGGCTTGCAGTCATTGTAATTACATTTTGGTAAAGAGACATGTAACACTCTAATTTCCAACCAAAATTTAAGGTAAATGTGGAAAATTTGCCAACTGGGCTGCTGGAGTGGATAATGGACTACTACTGCTGGTCTAAGCCTATAGGTTAAGTGTCTTAGCTATTTGACAATGAAGTATGAAATCCACGCACTGACACGCTTCGACTTCCACGTTTACTCAGTTCTCTTACATCGGAAGAACACTTGAGTATGCTTTGGATAGTTAACATATGCAAAATCACTTCAAAACATCTTTTTTTTGGGCTATCAGCCGCGGGTAAACAATAAACACACTCAGAGTTCGTCGCCTTTTATCGTAAGCTATTTTGTTTGCTGTTTGATGAGAAACTAATTGTAACTTAAGTGGTAAATGTGACAGATAAGTTTCTCATCACAACAAAGTAACTCTCCAACAAAAAAATAAAAAATAAGAGGCGATAAATCAAAATAAGTTAAATCGACCCTCCCTACGAACAAGTGGCTATCTTTTTGGGCGTTGCAGACAAAGGGCTATCTTTTTGAGCTTGGCAGACAAACGGCTATCTGCTTTTCTTAGAGGTTAGGGTTGTCCACGTTCATATTGAATAACTCCCGAAGCAAGAGACATAAAATTACCGTGTAAGAAATTTCGTGCTCTGACAACAGCAAAGAACAGTTGGTTAAACACTCATAGTGTTTCATAACCTCTACTGTGAGATATTAGAACCCAAAGTCACGAGGTGGGAAAAGCAGTTAGCCGTTTGTCTGCCCAGCTCAAAAAGATAGCCTTTTGTCTGCCACGCCCAAAAAGATAGCCACTTGTACGTAGGGAGGGTCGAAATGTGACAACTGCAAGTGACGAGTGACGGGGGATGATCCTCGTCTTCTTGTTGTCCCGTGCGGCGTTTCCTGCCAACTCCAGGACCAACATAACGGTGTCAAAGTAGGCAGGAGCATCATGACCGACACGTTCAGCCTTAATTCCACTCGATTCCACGGTTCCAGGAGGGGTCGTCGTTGTCCGGCAGCACCCCTCCTGGAGGAGCGGGACTTGGACTTTCCCTTTCCCTCGACATGTTTAAGGAGGTTTGGGGTAGAACGACAAGACGACGACGGTCGTGAGGACGGCGGAAAGTGTAAGAGAACCAGAGAACTGAGTGAACGTGCAAGTCAAAGCGTGTCAGTGCGTGGATTGCATACTTCATTGTCAAATAGCTAAGGCACTTAACCTATAGGTTTAGACCAGTAGTAGTAGTCCATTCTCCACCCCAGCAGCCCAGTTGGCAAATTTTCCACATTTACCTTAAATTTTGGTTGTACATAAGAGTGTTACATGCCTCTTTACCAAAATGTAATTATACAATGACACCAGATAGTATAGCTATACCTTGAAACCACTGGTAAAACAAAGGCGCTAAACAGGTGATCAATGCAAACCACTTCGTATGTTGTTCCCTGAGTACAGTAGGCGCTCGCTATAGTTCCGCCTTGGGTTCAGAATTGGAGTGGGTGAGTGGGGTCGCCAGAGGCGCAACTATAGCGAGCGTCTTCCCCCACTCCTTCTCTACCGCTCTCGCTCACACTGCTGGCCGGCTGGCAGCCCGGGGGGAAGGTGGTGGTGAGGAGGAGGAGAGGGGGGCCACTTCTCGCTTGAAGTGGGGGAACCAGGCCTGGCGGGGAGGGAGCGCCGGCGGAACTATAGAGAGCGGAACTATAGCGAGCCCTCACTGTAGTGATATATTGTGCTATACTTCACTCATTGTGGTAATACTAGGATTGAAAACATAACTCCTTGTTGATTTAATGTCACACCTGTTGACAAACTTTGCGCATGTCAGTATTATCCGATCAGACTGTGGACTTGCGCATGATTTTTGTGTAAATTGCTTCTTTTTGTTCTAAGCTCCATTAAAACTGCTTTTAGAGAAAAGTTGACTTGGCTCCTTTTTCCATAATGACGAATGGAGTCAAGTTGACTTGGCTCTTTTTGCGATTTCTCCTCCAAAAAGTCAAGTTGACTTAGCCCCTTTTGCCAATTTTCTAAAGATTTAACTCTAAATTCTCATCATGTGAAAAGAGTCAAGTCAACATGTCTCGATATTTCAATGATGGTAAAAAGAGTCAAGTCCTGTATCTCAGTGAAGGAGAGTGATATTGAAAAACTTCGAAATGCCAGTGACGTCATTGATAGAAGTGTATTCTATCTGCATCATATTTTTTTTTTAAAGTTATGTGCAAATAGTTTTTTGCGTTTCCTGAAAACCTTGGTTTTTGGACTTAGCCCCTTGTTCCGCTTCACAGCAGAACTATTCGGGCAGATTTTTGTTGAAAAAATCCGAATTATAGTTAAAGTGTGAAAAGCAGAGGCGCGATAATAAAGAACTGGACTGACAATCTTGTGTGGGACGGTGTTTATAACAGCGATAAGATGCACACATTTCTATGAGCGCGCTTGAGACAGCTACGTTTGGAACAAAGTTATTTGTTTTACATTGTAGATGAAATTGCAGGATGGATTAGATCTCTTTCCGGCATACAGCTAGTTATTACGTAACGCTGAGCTTTGATCCAAAGCGCTCTTCTAAAACGCAGATTTGGCAGCCCCTGGCGGCAGCGCGCACATCGGCCGCTGACTCAACTTCAAACCTGCGACAGTAGCAAAAAGAGCTGAAAGTTAATGTCTCAACTACACTGCTAAGCCATTTTTTAAAGGGTATTAGATGGATTCTTAAGCACATCTTAACCAGATGCATTTTAATCACATCTTAATCATAAGCATTTAAGCAAACTTTAAAACGACAAATTTGAACCTTTCTAATAGACGAATATCAAAATTGTCGCAAAAGGATGCAAATTTGTCCCCTGGAAGTTGCTAAGATGTATCTTGGTCTAAATGTGCTTAAAATGCATCTTTCTTATGACAACAAAATTCCCTTTATATTTCGTGTAAAAATCATGCAGGTGAGGGGGGAAGGGGGACCTCCAAAATCGTGTACACAACTTTGAAAGGACTTTTATTGTCCACAGAGAGACACGTTATTTTTGTACACATCTCAACCGGATTAGGAAAGGAATCTAGCAAGTTGGGAATTTGCATATTAATAATGGACAAAAAAATAATTGTCCAGAGAAAGGATGCTAAAATGTTATGTATCATTCCATGCCTGTGCGATATAAGTCACTAAATGAACGAAAGTCGCTTTAGACGTTCCAGTAATAGGTAACGTCTATAAGGGGAATAACAAATCACTTATCGGTTATGTATCTAAATTAACTTTAAGTTTTATTGCGACTTTGTTAAATTATTTAACATACCAATCTTATTTGTTATGTTAAGTTACGGACCCCTGCTTTTGTGGCGAAATTTTTCTTCGGCTCCACTTTTCACCGTT